GGCAGCCCTGCTGAGAAAGCCGGCGGAGTTCAGTTGTAATAAAAGAACAAGATTCTGTTCTAATGGTAATGGCGTATGACAGACATATCACTTTGTCTGTCCTCGGCACCGGAGAGAGGAGAATTGGAGAAAGGTCACCTGACCTGCCTGTGCTGTTGTGCGAATGCTGTACTGAGCTTTGAACTCCAGCTTGGAAGCACAATTATTTATAATACTAAATGATAAAGAAACCTTTATAGAGCCTACAGTAATTAGAATAAAGCTTATACAATAGTGCAGTGGCCTGGCTCAGAAAACACACTGGCAAATCCGTCACAGTGGCAGAAACTGAAGCGTATGTGTGGAGACTAACCACCTTCGTTTGTGTCTGTGTGAACCTGCCTTTGCTTTTTCAAAGCTTGTTTGTGTTCAACAGCTCCAAAAGTTTATTGGTTTTGATGGGTTTTTTTTTAATTTAATTTTTTGGCTGTTGTCAGGAAGTATCTGTCTGGGTTTCGCAGCCATTTTTTAATTATTTTTAAATCCTCTGCAGCAACTTGGTTCATGAAGTTAGTTCACGGTGGTCTTTCTCGCTGTTACTGTACGTCAAACCTCCACAGATGAACAGTTAATGCCTTAGACAAGCTTTCAATAGATGCTGTTTGCTGAATCTCTATTTTCAGCCCACAGTTTACACTGGCGCAGCTTTGGTAATACGCTCAAGTGTTTGGAGACAAGGAGACAGCCTTACCTGAGAGTGTGTCAAGCTACTGGCAAACATCTAGGTCACTTCTGAAAAGCTGTGGCTTTTTCCCTCATGTATAGTGTTAAAGTTAGCTCGCTGCTCTTTGCAAGGATTCTTCAAAGTCGGCCTCAGCAGCAGATGGAACAACTGTTGGCTCTAGAAATGCTGAGAAGCATCAGGGGGAGTTTGCCAAGGATCATCCTTTTAAATCTAGCAAGACTTGAACACATCCCTGAAACTCCTCTAAGACCTTGGCAAGTCCCGTTTTGGCAAACCTTTTATCAGTGGCCCTCACCGGTGTTTGAACATTGTGCTGGGCAGACTACCCTGGCATCTTCTGTTGTCTCGCTCGCCGTTTGACAGATGTGACCTGGAATAGTCAAATTCACTTCCTAGGTTTCTGTACTGTAACTTTCAGGAAGCCATGAAGTAGAGATGCCATTATGCTGTGCTGCACACATTCTGTCAAGTTTTGGTTAGGAAGCTGAGCTGGTGTCGTACATTCTTCCAAGAAGAAATCGGTGCCAGAAAAATTGATTTAAGAAACAGAGCCAGTGGAGCCTGTCCAAAAGAAAATGCGTGTGTCTTGCGGAAATGGATTTTAACACAGCTTCTTCTTGAGCAGTTTTAAAAACAGCCGGTATGCTAATCATACCATTCAAATTTACCAAGGCCTCCTCCACAACCCATTTGAAAGGCAACTATCTTTGAAGTTTGCCAAATTGTGCTGGATTTCCAAAGTCTGTCTTAAGCACATTTTGCCTTTGATCATGTAAATGCTTGCATGCTGCTCCGTTGGGTGTTCAAGGTGGCTACACGCTCCCAAGTAAGTAGGAGAAAGCAGGCACAGGTACAGATACGGACTGAGCAGAAGCACCTACCAGTCCATCTTGGGATGAACTTCAAGCCTCTTGCGTGTACAGGGCCGTGCAGGAGACAAAAAAAGGGTGATAGAGAGAATATGTTTATCTGAACAGTGACCTTTAGCTTGCTCCCAGGATCCTCGCCTGATAGCTAGTCTTCACCGATTTCAGATGAGGTGCATTATACTCTGGAATAAGGACAGCAACATCACCCTCACTTGTAAACAGCCAGGGCCCTGCTCATTCCTGCCTTTGTTCCTCGCTTTTTATGCTGCACGTATAAATATAGCATCTAGTGTGTGCGTGATGCAGTATCCTAGCCCTTTCCGTGTAACCTTTCAAGTACACAGTAATTCTGGAGTGAGTTTTCAATGTAGCTTGTAAATCTAGCTAAATGATTCTCTGTATTTAGTGGAGCACAGTGCATTGTCCGTAGCATCTGCTGAAAAACAGGAGCAATTCAGTGTGAAATGTGACAGGAGAGAATTCCTGGGCACTTTTCTTTTAACCTTGTTAGGACCTCAGCCCTAACCCTACTCACAGTTGTGTCTCCATCAATGGCAACAGCACACGACTGTCCAAATCAATTTTTTTGTTCTTTTCAAATACTTCTGGCAGTGATGTTACTATTTGCTCAGCAGCAGCACCTGGGAGTTGTGACAAGGAGAGGAAATGTGTTTCAGACAAGCCAGAAACAGCACTAAGCAGTTGGATATACACAATCAGGTTCTCCTCAACTGCAATATCCAGACGAATAACAGTGTGAATCCTTAACCAAATATGGTACTCTTTTTTTTTTAACATTATCTGGTCCTCTGATCACCAAAGTAAACATTGGATTGAAGATTTTTTATGTCACCTCTAGTCAGCAATAGACTCGCCTTCGGAAGGCTTAGAGCTTGCCTCTCTACCACAGCAGAGATTGATCTTAAAATGGACAGAAACTCTCCAGGGGAACTTCTCTCGTTTTTAAGCAATATTCGCTGCTGATGCTCCAGTTGCTGCCACATGCCTTGCATCCTGGTTATAGTACGCTTCCTTCTCACCCAGGCAAGGTAAACCTGGATATAAAACTACAACTGAGTCACTCTTGACTTTCTTACCAAGTGCATCTGATACCAGGGACAAAGTACAGAATAAGAATCTTTGGAAATGGGCATTTTAATTCAGACACACCACAGGCTATGTTATTAGGAAAAATAAGTAAACTATTTACTATGGGGAGCTGGTTGGGGGTTTTCCTGTCCCAGCCAAAACTGACGATGGGTCTATACTTCCCAGTTTCAGTGGGAAAGCTTTCTTGACTCAGGATAAAAATATGATTAAAAAAAAAAAAAGAAGAAAAAACATGCAAAGGGAAGGAGAAAGAAAAAGGCCCTAAAACGGCCTGGTAATAAGAATGCTCATCTAGACGATATTTCTGATTCTACTTCAGGCAGATTGTTAACTTGAACTTCATTTTAGGTGACTACCCTAAGCAGTCCTGTTAACTTGAGTTTATTTGTCTCCCTTTCCCTCATTTCTCTCTTTTGTATGATAGTGCAGTATGTAAAAATTTATCCTGGGGAGTTCTTGAGGAAAACATTAAGCTC